TATATATATATATATATATTATAAACTTCCCTATAAAACATTATCAAATCAAGAACCTGAGAGCATTGACATTAGTACATCAGCTAGGAAACTTATCAAAAAAAGGCCACTTAATGTAGCTTCTTTGCTTTGCAGACCAATTTAAATTAAAAGAGAAGGAAAAATGACCCAAGAAAAAACGTAGAAATACATTCCCCACTGACCACTTCAAAAAAATTTCAAAAAATATACTAAAATAATGATCAAAACTGCTCGTTTTGATGGAACAGCAGAGATCAAACAAAACCTTACAATCTATCCATCTTCCCAACGGATTTAAGATCAGCACATAAGTTGTCGTGAACTAATTTAACAGCCTCAAGTTCACTTTTGAGCTTTTGTTCCTGCAAATGTTAAATTTATATATTTGTGAATCACACTCTAAGGAATAGAGCATAAGTGTTGAATTTGAATCTACGTGTGAATCACGAATCACACTTGAGAAATAGAGCGTAAGACAGGATGAAAGAGAGAGAGAGAGGATTGGGACAAAGTGCATAGTAATAAACAATAATTTGTAACAAGTATGTAACCGTTTATTCATAAAATGATTCTCTATTCATAGAGAAAAGGGGAGGACAATATGTGAGACATTTATGCCCCTGCTTTAGTTTGGGGTTGCACCAGTTTTCTAGGTATTTTACATATGTGAACCTTGAGCCTCTCAAGCTTGGTTGATTGAACTGTCGGGGACTATATAGATTTTGTCGGTCGGCTAGGCTTGGTAGACAAATTCGGTCGGCTAGATCCAATAAACGTCTATGGTCGACTGATTTTCCCCTGGTAAGGAGTTGGCAAAATTAATTCGGTAGGCTAAATTGTGCCTAATGGTTGGTCAAATCCGCCGTCAACCCTCGATCCTAGATGAAAAACTCCTGTTAGGCAAAGCTAGGCTATCGAACATAGGGTGAGTTACAGTAATCTAATAGGTAACTGCCTTTAGAAAAGGAGATCCTAAGAGATGGCTAAGACTTGTTGTCTTATTGACTCTTGATGATATTTTAGGGAGAATTTGGGAAGTCTCTGATAGAACTGTAATACCCGAGAGGCTAAATCCTCCCTCAAGTTAATGGTTTGGGTTAATTATGTGCTTCGCTTCCGGTCGAGATTCATGTTGGCACTTTTTCCGAACATCAAGGCTAAGGTTAACGAAGGCATTCAGACTTCTCAAGATTCATGCTAACATTTTTCCTGTGTACAACAAGAAAGGAGAGAGCGACAGAGTGACAGAGAGGATCGAGTAGTAATAAACAATTATACATCTTGTCTATCTTCTAAAAAAATTCCCCTCTTCATAAGGGAGATAGTAGAAAATAGTGAAATTAAATTTCACTCTTTGCATTAATAGGAGTTATACAAGTTATTCTAGTTATTTCACATATATGAGTCTATCGTTTAGCTACTCTCTAGCTCAGTCTACTGAGCTCATTTGCCTCTGGCTCGGTAAGATCACTTCAATCGGCTTGTCTGAGCCGACGTGACGGTCGACCAAACCAAATTGACTTTGGATCGACATGACTAATTTGATCGGCTAGGCTTTGTCAATTGATTGATCTAGTTTGGTTGTAAACCCTTAATCACTGAATGAGAGGCTCCGGTCAGCAGAGCAAAACTAGACTATCGAACAGAGGGTGAATCACTGTAATCGGATGGGTACCTCGTTCCTCAAAGAGGAGAGTCTATGGGATGACCATAAGATCTTGTTGTACTGTCAATTATTGGCCTCTAATGAGGAGTCTCGAGGGCGTCCGTGGGACAGCTTGAGATATTGAGATACTGGGTCTTTTCTCAAGTCCGATCTTCCGGAAAATAGGTAGATTGCCTTTGGTCGACTTTCTTGTAATGGTTAGCTCGGGTGCTTATATGTTTTTTTTTAGTCCGATTGGTTCGAATTCAGAACCATCGATCATCCTTTTGTCCTTCTCCTAACTTAGTTGACCATCAGCTTTGGCTCGGATGGTTGCTTCTGATCGGATAAGTATGTCTCCTAGTTATCTATCGGCAGGCTCTCATTTCTCGTACTTTCCTCCTTCTGAACCATTAGATATCCTCGGGATCTGTGTTGGCACATTTACGATGTATATGGCTATTTTTTATGTTATATTAAAAATTTGAGTGCTATGTATGCAAATTTGAAAGCTTATGTGTGAGATATGTAAATACATGAGAATTGTGTGCTATGCTTTTCAACGTCCCCTCAAAAAATCTCACACACTGAAGCAAAGAATGAAAAGGTACTCGAAATTGTCCATACAAAAAGATAAAGTCTTATCTGAAAGAAGCAAAATCACCTCAAGTGCAAGTTCTTCCACCGGGCGTCTTTACATACAACATAATTCTTACATATATTCCTAAATATTCAAATTGAAATACATATCATATTTCTAAACATTCAAATTGACATACATATCATAGTAATCTTTAACATTAATTTAAAAAATATCACTAATACATCATTAACAAATTTTCATCATCCAACATAAATTTTGAAGCACAACACAAATCTCAAGACAAGTTTTTAGTAAGAAATGTTAAAATTTAGATTAGAAATCATTCAGAACTCTGATTTCAACAAACTTATAGTCAAACTAACTAGCTCGATAAGACTGACCCAACAATACCAAAATTAAGTCAATCTAAATCAAATCAAGCCCAAATCAAGCCATTAAACTGGTTCTAAAAATATTTTTAATGCATAATATACTTAAATTGAGTCTCTGCAAAACGAATCCAATGAGCCCAAAATCTCTTAATTTTGCATCATTAAAGTACTCAAATGTTCATCAAACATCGTTTGATTAATGGACTCTCTCCAAACCATCAAATTGAAATGTCTTACTTATTTACAGAGAGACCTCTCACAGACTCTATAATTAGAGCCCTACGTCCCTCTTGAGAGATGAGGGAACCTTAAACCAGAAAAAGACTTAAATTTGGAGGAAGTGATGAAGTCTAACATCGCTAAATTTCCATACAACACTCACAAAAAGAATGTAAATACCAAATTTTTGATGTAAGATAATGTAAATAAATAAGAGTTATGTACCATGCATGTACATTTCCCAAAAAAAAAAAAATCATTTCGTTTAAACCACATCATGTTTAAACCACATCATAAAAGTTGCCAAGAAACTTCCATACAACACTCAAAGAAAGACTGTATGGTAGAGCAGCAGCTTATAAAAGAAAGTTTATTATTTAAGTAATAGAATGGATAAAAAACAGAAAATTACAAATATAGTACAGTGTTCAATCAGTCATACAAAAATACCAAAAAAAAAAGAAAAAAGAAACATCATTATATATATTATATATATATATATATATATACAACACTGAGACATGCATATATCACACCTAAATGCTCTTCTATGTACATTCCCCTCTTCTTGCAGTGATTATCAAAATTAGCTAATGCAGATCTCTTATTATGAGCTTTTGACGTATAAATTGAATACCTTTCCTCTCGTGATTTATATCTTAGCATTCAAAATAGTTGCAATCATTTGTAGAGTTAGACCAACTACAACCGGCGGTCCAACCAAGAACACCGGGTATAACATCGACGCTCGAGCACGCATTTACCTGCATTTTGTTGGAGCATATGAGAAACATAGAAAATTAAATGTGTGTGTGTGTGTGTGTGTGTGTGTGTGTGTACAAAGAGTGGCAGGAGGCTATTATACGAGCCCCCGGCCACCATCATGTGCCTAAGAATTCAAGGACCGCCCTCACTACAAGCAAACTAGCCAGAGGGGATTCGAACCCGTGACCTAAGAGGGCTTACGACCTTCAAAGAGGAAGCTCTACCAACAGGCCACGAATGGCGGCACACACACACACTGTGTGTGGGGGTGGGTGTTGTCTTGTGGGGGAGGGAATTTACATAGATGCCACACAATTTTTATATTTACATAGCTAACACCCAAAGCTTCATATTACACATACAACATCTTGGTGACATAACCCTGTGCATAAAAAAGTGTAATTCACTTTTCAAAAGATAGTGATTTGACCTGATGTCAAAAATTTAAGTTGTATGCATGAAAATATGAATGCTTAGGTGTTACATATGCAAATACATATGAATTGCGTGGTAAGTATGTATGTATAATGCACAAAACACACATAATTTTACATAAGTTTGCCCAATTGATGTCTTAACACTTATTTCTGCCAAAGCAAACTTCATTGCGGGTTGATTCTGGAGAATTAATCTTAATTCCTCTCATAAAATATAAACCTAGAGCAACATTCTTCATTAAAAAAAAAGAAAAATTTGCATGCAAACCACTCAATTCTTATGTATTTACACATCAAACACTAAACTTCAATTTTTACATGTTACTGTGTATTTCACTTTTTCGAAGTTCAAAATTGTGGCATTTTTTATATGATATGAAAATTTTGTGGTGCGAATGTAGAAATCAAAGTTCATGTGTTAGATATGTAAATACGTGAGAATTGGGAAGGTATATGTGTATGCCCCTAAATAAAAATTCTCAAAACTACTCGTGTGTAAATCTGCGTAGCATGTTTATTTTATATGAACAAAATTAGGCCGCACAATTTAAAACAAACACATATAATCAAAATGGTCTGTTGCAACTTACCAAATTCTCGTAAGTCCCCTCTATGTGGAATAATAGAACGCCCATACCCTTTTTCCTATCAACCTCAGCCTTTATGATAATAATGAAAGTCAGAAAAAGAATAATTTGGCGAAAATTCTAAAAATTGAGAGGGTTAAGAAAAAAACTTACCACACACGAGCATATAGTTACTCCAACAGCAGTCAAAGCTGATGTAACTTCAGCCATCATGCCTGTAATTGTGAATTATTATATCAATCTTTAAAAATCAAGTGAAATAAATATAAAAAGGAATATTTACATACATAAAACTCAATTCTTATGTATTTACATAACTAAAACCTAACCTTCATTTTTTTCATGCATGAAATGTGTATTTCACTTTTGTTTTAAGTTAAAATAATGATATTTTTATGTGATATGAAGGATTTGGATGGTATAAATGTAAAAAATAAAGTTTAGGTGTTAGATATGTATAAATATATAGGAATATAGTCCGAGAGTATATAAAAATATCAAATTAATCTTCATACTCCTTTTAATGGGGCCGAAATAGTGCTTCTGAAAAATTTGGGATCTATTTCAGCCCATATCAAAAAAATTATGGACTAATTTGACAGTTCTATAAACTTTGGAACTAAAATGATCTCCTGCAAAGAGTCAGAGAATCATTTTGATACTTCCCATATGAAAATAAAAAGCTCAACTAACCTCTTCGATCAATGCATATTACGCAGAACCATTGCACGGAATGCTCTTCTATGTTGTGCCACAAGGCTATTTTGCTCGCTTTCCAAGCCTCTAGACCAGGCAGAACTTGCTTATTATACAATGAAATGGTTGAGTTCATCAGTTCAGTAAACCCATCACTTGAATTCATGGAGCAGCCATTAACCTTAATGCAACCTTTGTGAAGAGCATTATTATGCTTCCCATTAATCTTAGGAAAATCCAATGTATTATTAACGTGTACTAAGTTTTCGCGGTGCTTTTTAATCGAAGGCAGTTCATCAATACTCGCCAGTATTTTTTCCCAGATTGATTTTCTGTCATTTTGAAGGACCGATAAATTGAAATCATAATCATTTTCTTTCTCAAGATCAGCGACGAAATCATTTACTGTGTCTGCAGTTATCTCAGCAGCAGAAAGTGCAGCCTGCTCTCTCAAGAACTAATTAACAAATTATTTGATTAGAAACGCAAATGCAATAAAAAAGAGGATTGAAATGTAATTAGCAACATTAGAAAAATTCATACTTTCATAATCTTGTGCCTGGCGCTGCGAGTTTTTGCATGCTGTAACCACTGTCGATGCCTCTGGAAAGCGGATTTGCTCGATAATGCCTAATGACGTGTTGATTAAAAGAATGAAAGTCAAGTCAAATTATATACACCATGGAACATTTTTAAAAGGGAAATTTACATACCAAGCACATTACATAACTCACACCTAAGCTTTCATATGTGATATTAAAGATTTGAGTGTGATGTGTGTAAATATGGAAGTTTACGTGTGAGATATGTAAATACATTAGAATTGTGTGCCATGTATGTAAAATCAAAACACATTGGAGAAAAACTGAAAATCAGAATACTAACATTGTATGTAATTATCTCCACAACTTCAGCATTCGCGAGTGCATGCATTGGAGAAACAAGATTTCCATTGACCTAAAGAAGAATAAAACAAGGTTGGCACAACTTCAGCATTCACTTTAACATCCATCACATCAAAAATACCATTATTGCTACCTTTCTAGAAGTGAAATACACCTTTTTATGCAAAGGTTTATGACACCAAGGTGTGTTAGATACGTAAATACAAAAAAGTTGTGGTATTATGAATGTAAATTTCCATTAATTAAAACAGCGCACCTTTGCTGCCACCATTTTGTTCCCAATATCAGTGTGTATGAGATATGCATAATCAATAACGGTAGCCCCCTTCGGCAAGTTTTTTATCTGTATAAACCATAAATCAGAGTTTGAAATAGTTAAGGTGAGTAAGAACTAACAAAGAATAACCCGCCTCTCCTTTCGGGGTAAAAACAAACACGCGGCTCCCTAACAAGTCTCGCATGACAGTATCTACGAATTCCCTCGAGCTCATGTTGCCAACAAACTCCTCTTGCCACTCCCTGATAGCATTGAGCCAGCCAACCTGTACAGAACCATAACAACAGAGACTCTTGTGCTATTCTTAGTTCATTAATCCAGAAATTACAGAACTTGAAAGGGGCATTTACATACTTACCGCACAAGTCTTATGTATTTACATATCTGACACCTAAACATTCATATTTACATGCAAGCATTCAAAACTTTACCATCACATCAAATTTACCACTATCACTATCTTTTTAAACATGAAATACCCATTTTCATGCATAGGTTTATGACACCAAAAATATTATAATATTATAAGCGTAAATACAAAAGAATTGTCTTATGTATGCAAATTCGCCAAACATGAAATTGGAAGACAACAGCTTATGTACCCTGAGGGCGATGTCCGCATTGTTCAAGCACATTGATTTTCCTTTCGAATTTCTCCCACGATAAACTCCATGTCCGTCCGTAGCAGGGACAACTCTTCCGCTGTAGTGAGCGGCGATACCTCGCACAGCTATCAAATCCATCTCCTCCGTCCTTACCTGCCAAATTGCCAAATCAAGAGTGCTATAAGTGGCGCAATAATTACAACACACAAGTAGGTTGGAATCCAATAATTGACTATATGAAGAATTGAGTGGTACGTATGTAAATCTTCTTCAACTAGGAGCATTTACACATACTCCGCAATTCCTATGTATCTACATATTGAACACCTAAACTTTGTTTTTTACATTTATACCACCAAATCTTTCAGATCACATTAAAAATGTAACTAGTTTAACTTTTAAAAAGTGAAATACACATTTTCACGCATAGATAAGGTGGCATATGCGTAAAAATTGAAGTTTAGTGCTAGATATGTAAATATACAAGAATTGAATGGTATGTATGAAAATTTTTCTAAACTCTATCATATCCACATAAAAATAGCAAAAAGAAATGCGCAAGCGACAGGATGACGAGAAATCACCTGAACTTCTAACCGGAACATACTTTCATAGAGAAACGGTATCACTGTTGTGTGAAGGCTTTGATAACCATTAGGCTTAGGAGTTGCAATATAGTCCTTCATCTGTCAAAGAACATGGCTTATCAAACTCCATCAGTTTCTTATTTATTTTCTTTCCTTTTATTTTTTAAAATATGTTTATTTAGTATGTTTTTTATTTTTTATTTTTTATTTTTTGCTTCTAAGAATAAAATTTAGTGTTTTTTAAAACACTCAAAATAACTTTAATGTGTTTTCAAAAACAATAATATCTTAATCAATATGTATCAAATTAAAACATAAAAAAAACAAAAACAAATAAGAAATAAAAATAAAAAAAAAGTGATCCTAAATGGCCCCTAAATGTTAAGGGTTAATAAAAAATATGCATCTAAACTGACCGCAGAAGGTATAGGAGTCCATATCCCATGGACAAGGCCGAGAACATGATAGCATATCTATATTAAGAAAAAAAAGTTCATGAGTGTGAAGAAAAATGAGAAGCAAACCGAGGCAAGTATCATTAGGAAACGCACTACATTACCTGCTGAGCGCTGCATAAAGGCCCAACACCGATCTGGGTCTTTGGGGTTATGATAATACGGAGCTGTTGACAGGGTAGCATCATAAAGTAACATATGATAAAAAATGTCATATTTTGTTTTACATCCATATTATTATAACAAACCTGTGCAATCTGATTAGCCTCCTTTATTGAAGTTTTGGACCTCAACATCTGCTTGAATATGCTGCAGTATAACTACAGTAACATAAGCTTTCCTTTGATCATATTCTATAGCTTCAACTATCAGTTAAGTTGTTCAATTGAAGCCGGATCTAAAACTATAAAAGTATGAGGCACTAATTATTAGCATGTGCTCTATCTTAGAAGAAGGAACCAAGCAGCTGACCAAATAAAATTTTTAAGTCTAAAAAGAAATTAAAAAAACTTGAACCTCCATTGAATTGAACAAATCTCTCAAAAACACGATCAACTCGCCGAATTGTTGTCCAAGCGTGGTAACACTGATGGTTGATTTGTGATCGCCTTAACTAGTGGTAGCTGTTGGCATAATTTTTTTTTGATGTCATGTGTGTCTGGGGCGTCGATATTACCTGAGGGTGTCCATGTCGCAACACTTCGAATACGGGCTAAAAATGCGCAAATTTTCATTTTGGACTTGTTTGCTGAAAAAGTTGTCCGAACAACCCCGAACGACGAAACAGACCACACGAGTGAGTCTGAAAGGTCGATTACACTTGGAAAAGGCGCTTGTTGCACCACAATTTCGCGGGAGGGGGTAAAAATGCGCAAATTATTGTTTTGACCCAAATTGCTGAAAAAGTGGTCTGAACGACCCCGAACGACGAAACGGACCACACCAGTACGTCCAGAACGTCGATTTACCTAGGAAGAAGTTCATTTTGCTACGATAACACGTTCGACAAAAAAAGATGCTGAGAGATAATAATTATTATAAAATATATATTATCCTTTTAAAACTTACGCATCTCTCCCTCTCCCCTACGGCCTGCTTCGCAAAAAGGTTCCCCCTCTCGATCGATTCACGAAAAACTACCCCGGATCCCTCTCCTCCGTCGCTGGCTCCGCTCTGATGTCCGTCTTCTTCTTCTTCTTCTTCTTTCTTCTTCTTCTTCTTCCAATTCTTTTTCTTCTTCTCCTAACTTTTCTTCTTCTTCTTCTTCTATTTCTTCTTCTCCTAATTTTTCTTCTTCTTCTTCTTCTTCGTCTTCCTCTTCTTCTTTTTCACCTCTTTTTCTTCTTTTTCTTTTCTTTCTTCTTCCTCTTCTTTTTCTTGGACAACACGCCAACCTCGCTGGATTTCATTCACCCCGCCGGCTTTCACCTTGCCAGTGTTGTGTTTTCGCCGGAGTAAAACGGCGAAGAAAGATGTCAATTTTTTTTTGGGCTTTCTTCTGTGCCTCCTTCGCTTTCAGTATTCACCACCGATAAATTAGCATTCGTCACCTCGCCGGACAGCGAGCGTTGCCACAGTTCGAGGAGGCGCGTGCGTCTTTTACCTTGTGGGTTCCCCTTCTTCACCGTCGTCGAGCAATCATCTCTCGCGAATGTACCTTTTTTTGGTGTTGCATATTTTTATATGCTAAATTATTTATTTTTGGTACTTCGCATACCTCACTGATCTCTTCCTCTCTTGCCCATATTGGATATGTTTTTGTCCTGTGCGCATTTTACGAGGCACACTAGAGTATGGATCGGACGTCGGCGAGTTTGGAGCAAGTAAAGAGAACGTGTCGCAACCGTCACGGTGGTGAGATTCTCTAACTCCTAGTTGGCCCTAGGTTTTAGCGGTGTCTAGGCGTGTGGGTTCAATCGCCCACACGGGGTGCGTGCGCCTCGGCGCGACGACGTGCCTGCGTGATGGATCGTCGATTTCCTAGAGCGAGTCATTAAGTTAGGACTTCCTGTGCGTAACCAAACACCCCCCGTAGAGTCGAGTATCTCTTGTTTGTTGTGATTCTTAGCACAAGTCTCGATGGGTCGGAGTCCCTCACTCCCCTTGCTTTGGGTTTTCCCAGCTTTACTTGGAGAAGCTAGGGGATCGGACTTCGCAAAGCGAGAGAAGCCTCATAGCTGGTTCGCTTTGCAAAATCTGGAGGAGTTCACAAAATGGGAAAAGTTTTGTAGCTAGTCTATTTCATGACACCGCGGAGAGTTTCCCCCTCCGAGATCCAGGGAGAAACTCCTCACATTTCCTCAGCAAAGTAAGAGGCGGCGGTCCCGCATATCCAAGGGTCTAAACATTAGGTTTCCCAGGTGAGGTCGTTAGTAAGAGCGTGGTTCGCTACCATATGTGGTCATATGCACATCATTGTTTGCATGTGCATGTCTTGCATGTTACATATTGTATGTCATATATCGCATTTGCACTTACACTTGCACTTGCATTTACACTTTGCACTTGCACCTTGTATCTTGCACTTGCACTTACACTTGCACCACTTGTGCCTCGATCGGTCGCCCCGAACCGGTCGACACCACTTGTGACTCGGTCGGTTATCCCAAACCGGTTACATCACTTGTGTTTCAGCGGGCTACCCGGACTCGGTTGGTACAACACTTTAGATTGGTCGGATTTTCCATCCCGATCGACTGACTACTTGCTCTTTTACATGTTGTGTATGCGCATTTATATGTTTGTCTGCATGATCGATATTATTTACTTAATTTGTACCAATCGAACCCGGGTAGCCGACTGAAACACAAGTGATGTGACCGGTTCGGGATAACCGACCGAGCCACAAGTGGTGTCGACCGGGCCGGGGGGAGATCGAGGCACAATTGGTGCAAGTGTAACGTGTAAATGCAAGTGCAACTGCGATATATGACAAACAATATGTAACATGCAAGACATGCACATGCAAACAATGAGGTGCATATAACCACATATGATAGCGAGTCACGCTCGTACTAACGACCTCACCTGGGAAACCTAAGGTTTAGACCCTTGGATATGGGACACCGCCGCCTCTTACTTTGGTGAGGAAATGTGAAGGATTTCTCCCTGGATCTCCAAGGGGGAAACTCTCCACGGTGTCATGAAATATGCTAGCTACAAAGCTTTTCCCATTTTGTAAACTCCTTCAGACTTTGCAAAGCGAGCCAACTACAAAGTTTCTCTCGCTTTGTCAAGTCCGACCTCCTAGCTTCTCCAAGTAAAGCTGGGAAAACCCAAAGCAAGGGGAGTGAGGGACTCCGACCCATCGGGATTTGTGCTAAGACTCACAACAAAAGGGAGACACCGGCTCTACGGGGGGTGTTTGGTTACGCACAGGAAGTCCTAACCTAATGACTCGCTCTAGGAAATCGACGATCCATCACGCAGGCACGTCGTCGCGCCGACCCATGTCAGCGCACACACCTCGTGTGGGCTATCGAACTCACATGCCTAGACACCGCTAAAACCTAGGACCAACTAGGAGTTAGAGAATCTCACCACCGTGAAGATTGCGTACGCGTTCTTTTTGCTTACTCCAAGCTCGCTGACGTCCGATCCATGCTCCAGTGTGTCTCGTAAAACGCGCACAGAACAAAAACAGATCCAATAAGGGCAAGAGAGGAAGGGACCGGTGAAGTATGCGAAGTACCAAAAATAAATAATTTAGCATATAAAAATATGCAACACCAAAAAAAGGTGCATTCGCGAGAGAGGATCGCTCGACGACGGTGAAGGAGGAGAACCCACAAGGTAAAAGGCGCACGCGCCTCCTCGAACAGTGGCAACGCTCGCTGTCCGACGATGTGACGGATGATAATTTATCGGCGGTGAATGCTGAAAGCGGAGAAGGCGCAGGAGAAAGCCCTAAAAAAAATTGACGTCTTTCTTTGTCGTTTTACTCCGGCAAAAACACAACACCGGTAAGGTGAAAGCCGACGGGGTGAATGAAATCCGACGAGGTTGTCGGATTGTTCAAGAAAAAAAAGAAAAAAAAGAGGAAGAAGAAAGAAAAGAAAAAGAAGAAAACAGACGAAAAAGAAGAAGAAGAAGAAAAAGAAGAAGAAGAAAAAGAAGAAGAATAAGAAAAGTTACGAGAAGAAGAAGAAGAAATTGAAGAAGAAGAAAAAATGGAAGAAAAAGAAGAAAAAAAAAAGAAGAAGACGGACATCAGAGCAGAGCTGGCGGTGAGCGGCGCCGGCGACGGAGGAGAGGGATTCGGGGTAGTTTTTCGCGAATCGATCGAGAGGGGGAACCTTTTCGCGAAGCAGGCCGTAGGGCAGAGGGAGATATGCGTAAATTTTAAAAGGATAATATATATTTTATTATAATAATAATAATATTATTATTATTATTATTATTATTATTATTATTATCTCTCAGCATCTTTTTTGTCGAACGCGTTATCGTAGCAAAATGAGCTTCTCCCCTAGGTAAAATCGACGCTCTGGACGTATTGGTGTGGTCCGTTTCGTCGTTCGGGGTCGTTCGGACCACTTTTTCAGCAATTTAGGTCAAAACGATAATTTGCGCATTTTTACCTCCCCGCAAAATTGTGGTGCAACGAGCGTCTTTTTCAAGTGGAATCGATGTTTCGAACCCACTCGTGTAGTCTGTTTCGTCGTTCGGGATCGTTCGGATCATTTTTTCAGCAAACAAGTCCAAAATAAAAATTTGCGCATTTTTAGCCCGTATTCAAAGTGTTAACGTTATGGACGCCCTCCTTAGGTAATATCGACGCCCCAGACACACATGATATCAAAAAAATTATGCCAACAAAGGACCCCCAACAAGTGTGTTGCACCACTGAGGCACAGTGCACTTGTTGGCAGCATCTTCAAAAGAAAGTCTCTCCTGATAGTCGAGGTGACATCTCATGGAGAGACTAAAAGAAAACTCAACCAAGCCAGACAAATTGGTCAGGGAACGGTCGAGTGTGTGGCTAGCCAGTTGAAACCGGTCAACCACAAAAATAGGTTTGGAAGCCGTATAGGCATGACCGAGAGAATTTGGTTTAGAGACCATAGAGGCATAACCTAAGAGGGTGGTTCAGAGGTCGTAGAGGCATAACCACAGAAATAGGTTCAGAGGCCATAAATGCATAACCTAAGAGGGTGGTTCAGAGGTCATAAAGGCATAACCATGAAAATAGGTTCAGAAGCCATAACCTAAGAGGGTGGTTCAGAGGTCATAAAGGCATAACCACAAAAATAGGTTCAGAGACTACAAAGGCGTGACCTAAGAGGGTGGTTCAGAGTCCATAAAGGCAT